CCATGACTTGCCCGAGGATGTTGCGAAGGCTTGTGAGGAGGGCCGTCCGCAGCTCCAGGTCTCGCACCGCGCTGTCGAGGAGCCCGGCATCCGGACGCCACGTGGCCCCGGAGGCCACAATTATAGCAGACGACGAGCGTTCCAGAGGACTTGGGCTGGTCTCGGTGGCTCGGAACGTCCCGAGCCGGTCGCTCGGCAGATCGCCATCCTGCAGAACGATCCGCAGCGAAGGCTCCCTCCATTCCGGAAGAGGTCGCCGCCACGGTGTGTCGTGCAGCTGCTTTGTTCGCCTTCCTCCGCTGGGAGATGAGATTGGCGTGAATGTGCCTTGCAGCCCGCAGTGATGACATATCCGCATCGTCCTGCGCTAAGATGGTGAAGTCCAAATCGTCAGCCAGCAGCAAAATTTTCTCGCCCACCATCGCATCGATCCCCTCTTCATCCATACGCGGGAAAGCGTCCTTCGCCAATGACAGCAGGGCCGTGCGATAAGCGAGTGGCGATTCCTTGTCACCCTTCTGCCGTTCATAGAAGAGCTGGCGACAATCGGAGGGCGGCCCATAAACGGTGGCCAGCAGCTGCAGCGCCGACTGAATGGTGGAGCGAGCCGACTTGGGTGCAGCAGTGAGGGTGCCCAGGGCGTCGCCGTCCAGTAACGCCGGGAGAGCACACAGCGCCTCGTTGTCCGACCAGCCTGCCATCTCTTGGTGGGCCAAGAACCGGCGCTGGAACCCCCCCCAATCGCCGTCGCTTGCAACAAATACCTGCAGGGCCGGCAGGCGTTGCTGGAATGTCAGCTCCGTCTCCGATCCTCTTGCAGCATCCGTAGCGCGTCCCCGTACTGTATGAGTAATGGCGGACTCTAATGGGTGTCGCGCCGTCAGTGACGAGTTGGTCGGGGCTTGGTCGGTGCTGGCGTCCGCTGGTGGTGACGTTGCAACCCCTGATAGGCCGCCACCGCGACCCGCCTCCGCCGATGACGTGGCGGCTGCTGGCTGGGCACCGTCCCCCGCGTGACGAGCTGGGACTCCTCCCTCCGCCCCTACTGTCTTCGTGGCGGGAATTTAGAGTCGCCCCGCTGTTGTAAAGGCGGGAGTTTCTGGCGGGCGTTGTCCATCTTCCCGCCGCGTCGCTCCTCCCGGCCCCAGGCGAGTTATTTGTTCCAGCATAGCGGCCGCTGCATACAAGAGCTCCGCCAGCCGCGAGTGAGCCAACGCCAACTCGTCAGTCGACGTCCCGGCCCTCTCCGACGACCCCGCCGATGTCGGAGCCGGCAGCTGTTGTGCAGGTACGTCGGCGGCGATGTCTTGCACTGCCCCTCCCTCGTCGTCATCCTCTCCTGGGTCTTGGGCACGAGTCTTCCGTCTCGTATCCATGCTTGGACCACTTCCAACACCAGATGTAGTAAGTAGAGGAGGAGACGATGTCGAAGTTGAGACACACTGTTTATTAACTCCGGGACAGATACAATAGTTGAAGGGGTATCGGCCCCTTCACCCGTACTATGGGAAACCCACCCTAGTACTAAGCCCTCTGTCCTGTCCCCCAGTCCTCCTCTACTGGGCTACGGGAGGCTGACTGATCTGGCCCTGGCAAGCACAGATCTCGGCACCAGCTAACCAGCCTTGCCCTGATAAGGGCAGCGGTCTGGAAGCTCTTGGGCCGCGCCACTGGCTTACCCGGCTCGGCCCTTATAAGGACGGCGAGACCGGGGAGTCCCAGGGCCTAATCTCCGAGTCTTGGATCTTCACTGGTCAGCTTCGTGTCGAACTGAACTCGAGCTCTTTGGGTTCCACCTTTTATAGGGATCGCCTCCGAGGGCTGGGGGCGTGGGCAATAACTGATGCGGACGTCGGTGTGACCCCCCGTGTATGTGAGTGCCGACAGCCCTGTGTTTGTTGTCCGCCGTTTCTCCCGTAATAACCCCTACACATGTGTGCGTGTTCATCGACGTGTGTGCATGGCTCCATCTGAGTGTGTAAGTCAATGTGCGTTTGTGTGTCTATGTGTGTCAGTCGATGTGCATGAGTACGTCGATGTATATGTGTGTGTCAGTCCATATGTGTGTGTGTTAGTCCACATGTGTGTGTAAGTCCATACATGTGTGTGTGTGTCACTCGATGTGTGTGTGTAAGTCAATGCGTGTGTGTGAGTCAATATGTGTGTGTTAATCCATGTGTGTGTATCTAAAGTAGATGTCTGTGTCACAGTCCATGTGTATGTGTGTGTCGGGCAATGTATGTGTTAGTCTATGTATGTGTGTATTTGAGTCCATGTGTGTGTGTCTTAGTCGATATGTGTGTGTAAGTACATATGTGTGTTTACGTCAATGTGTGTGTGTGAGTCCACGTATGTCTTTGTGTGATACGTCGATATATGTGTGTATCTGCATGTGTGTGTATCTAAAGTAGATGTCTATGCGTGTGTGAGTCCAAATGTGTGTGTGTAAGTCCATGTGTTTGTGCGTGTGAGTCTATATGTCTGTGTGTGTCAGTCCATGGGCGTGTGTGTTAGTCGCTTTGTGTGCGTGGCTTGGACACTCCACCCCCTCAACTCCCAATTGGTGATGGGCCAGTTGTGGAGATAATGGAGAGTTTCCCATACCTTGGCAGTGTGCTAATGACCAGCTCCGGTTTAACAGCAGAGGTCTCACTCCGAATCAGTTAAGCCACATTATCTTTTCATCGGTTGCGTGATGATATGTGTGTAATCGTGTTCCAGGAGACCTTGACACCGGGGTTGGAGGCACACGTATTTATTCCGTGTCGGTACAGTACAGCACTGACATACAACACTGGAGGGGGTATCGGCCCCCTCACCCGTCTAACTGGGGATACACTTCTAGCTACGCCTAGCCTACCCCTGGGTCCTCCACTAACGGGCTAGGGAAGGCTAGCTAGCCCGACACTGGTAAGTCGGGCTCACGGTACCCAGAGTCCCAGACCAGCTCTTACAAGAGCACCGGCTCTGGCTCTCGGGACCACGCCGCTGGCTTGATCCTGTCCGGCCCTGACAAGGGCGGCGATCCAGGGGAGTCCAGGGCTCTATCTATGACGATCTTCGATCTTCACTGGTTAGCTTCAACATCTCTCCCTGAGCCCTCCGGCTCATCCCCTTTTATACCAAAACCCCCCACTCCGAGTCAGCCCCCCAGGCTGCCCGATGCGTACGTCGCTGGGAGCACCTGCCCGTGCACCGACATAGCCACGCCCACTGTGTTTCTTTCCCATCTGATCCCATTGTATACAGCCCCTCCGTAACACCCCTACATGTGGAAGCTATCACTGGTCTATCACTCCACACGAAGCGTCAGGTTTTCTCGGTCACAGTCATTACCTCCCTTCTGTACGCTTGCCAAACTTGGATACCCCTAATGTAACATCTTCGCCAGTTATAAACATTTACGGTGGCCTGCCTACGATCCATCCTGGGTTTAACCAGGCTGCATTGTGTGAGGAGCTCACAAATCCTTGAAAGATGTGGACAAAGTCCCATTGGTGAGCTCCTCCGGCAGGCAAGGCTGCATTGCATGAGTCACGTAGCCCACATGCCCAGCCACCGCATGCCTAAACATCTTTTGTCCGGCCGGATCGAGGGGGCTAAACGGGCGAGGCACGGGCTAGAGAAGAGATGGAGTGATGTGGTACAGAAAGACGTGGAGCTGGGTGGACTTTTACATTATGAGACCTTCTTTGCCAGTAGCAAGATATAGTAACTGACACCTATATACAAGGGATAATGTTTGCAATAACCACAACACTTGCAGTCAAAATTCAAACAAAAAGAGACAACTCTGATAATGATATTCACTGTCCTTGAAATTGATTGGTCCATACCCGAGACGGCTTTTCTTAGAGCCTAGTCTCACATGGTGTTGGACCAGATGACGCTTTTTGGCGTCTTTTGGTGTCATCTTTGAGCCTCTGTTGAGGAGGCTCCTGAAGGACGCTATTGGGCAGTTGGAGGAATTCGCCCTCCAACAACAACGGAGGGCGGAGGGGCGATGATCACAACAATGAGCGGAGCGCCGGGTGGCTAAAGCACAGCAAGTTGCCACAGTAGGGGGCACAGATGGTGCATCTGCCAGTCGTCTCAGTCAGTCGACCTGTGCCATCTGGGTCAGCCCCGTGACCTCCTGCCAGCGGGCGTTCGACACTTCACGTGACCTCAAGGTGCACATAGCCTGGCACAAGCATTGTGGTGACGTCACCGCCACTTAGTGGTGAATGGCGGTTCTTGTTGTTGTTCAGTCTATGTATGTATGTGTGAGTCAATATGTGTGTGTAACTCTATGTGTGTGTCAGTCGATTTGTGTGTTTAACAACATCTATGTGTCTAAAGTCGATATCTGTGTGAGTCCATATGTTTGTGTGTGCATGTAAGTCCATGTATTTGTATGTGTGTGGGTCGATGTCTCTTTGTAAGTCCATGTGTGTGTCTGCCTTTTTCGTCCGGGCAACGCCAGGTACTTACTGCTAGTTCATTATAAACGTTGCTATGGGTTAGATCGCGTAAGTACAAGTGTGTCGTTGACCCACCACCACCCAACGCAACCAATTAGTATGGTTTGCCAGAATTGTGGTAAAATCATCCGATGATACTGCTGTATGTAATTTCCAGGGAAACGTCCCGTACTCCAATTGCAAATGCTTTAGATTTACTCTCCAACACACCGGTGGGCTGAAGTGGTCACGAATTTGCACGTTTTGTTTACGTTGCAAACCATTACTAATTGGCTGCATCCATTGGTGGTGAGTTAACGATACATTTATACTTACGCGATCTAACCCAAAACAAACCATTTCATTTCGTACAATAATGATGTCTACAACTTGTGTAACATTCTCCAATTCCGGTCCATCGTTTTGCTGTCGTCTGTCGGTGACATCTCGGGGAAAACAGCAAGATCATCATCACGTGCTATGTAAAGTACACAACAAGGAAATCTGCTGCTCGCTTGGATACTTGAGGCTCATTGATGCTTGACGGTGCATTCATCACTTGCGGGTTGTGTCCAGACCAATATCATCATTACTCGCTACAGAGTACGCCTCCAGTTTGTCCACTTAACCCCTCGTCTGGCCAACGAAACGCACCTTTGAGCGAAATCGCTGTCTCACGACATACGTGGTGACATCGGGCTGGCGAGAAAACGGCAACAGGCAAGTTTATACCCATCAATTCTTTATCTGTAGTATATCATTTAAAAAAAATATTACTTTTAACTCCATGTGTCGGCTCCACGTAAAATACCCGATGTTTGACAGAGGCAAAACTGGGCGTCTGGAGTGAGTCCACATTGCCGAACGTTTTATTTTGTTTTTGTTTAAACAAATATGAGAGAGTAGAAGGCAAAAAAAGTTGAGTAGTATAAAAGTCCTAGACCAAGGAGAAACATACCACAGCTAATTATCCAGTGGTCCTTCTTCCCTTTCAGCACCGGGAAAGCGTGGACATGGGCCGCTTGGCTCCGCCGTCCCGGCTTCTGTCTGGATCATCGCAGCTGCTGCTGCTGATGCTGACGCTCGGCACGGTAAGTTCGACACTGCTTGCGGGGCATCGGGGCGAAGGGACTGGAATATGATTCGTTTCATATGTTTGAGGCCGAGTTGGGGGGCGGTGGGGGGGGGACTGAAACGAGATTTGATTTAGGGACAATAAGGATCAGCAACGGATGCAATAGTTTGCGTGACAGTTTGAGGATTTGTGGACTCTCGTCGTTTCGACTAACAAATGGGCATCCCTTTTAGTCGTTTGTTGAACTTCTGTCGCATCCGTGGGAGTCAACGAGGAGCTTATACCCTGGCTCTATCGGGAGAAGGTAGTACAGCAGCAAAGTATGTGGACTAATCTCCATCTGTTCCACACTCCCTAACCTTGTACCTGTGAGTGGACATCGATGAGGTAATTATACTGCTGGCTGTCCTAGCAGAAGGCAGCACAGCAGGTGGATTACTCCTAATCTGGTTCCATCTGTACAGTGGGGGGGGGGGGGGATAGAGCGTTGCCCCCTCGCGTAAGGTGTGGTGTTTTTTTCCGGGTGCTCCGGTTTCCTCTTATCCCACGTGGAGAATGACTCATTATCGTTCATTAGCATCACACTTCGTCCTTCAAAATAATATTCTGGAGCAGAAGATTAGTGCCCTGGACACAGCAGTCACGTTTGCAAATGCGATTTGTAAATTTGATTCTTATAAATGTATTGATCGTTTAATTTTAGCGTACAATTTAATTGAGCGAATGTGTGTTGTCTTGGTGTGGTCTGGGACTGTTTTTGCTGTGGTTTTACTGCCTTACCAAGCTGGAGAATGGATGCACTAAAGCAATTTTAACTTAAATCTTTTTATTTTATTTAAGGGGCGCTGTGGTACAATAAAAGCAGACTGCGACTGAATCACGGAACTTGCTGATATTAGCCAATCAAATGTAGGGGGAGTGTGTCACATAATCACTCAATCCATGGATATATTGGCAATGCATCGACAATAGCGATTAACGTGCAAATTCCTATACATCAGGTATTCATCTTCTTGGTTCTTTCGGTAAAGTCACGTAGAATATAAATAATAAAATAATAAAAATAATACATAATAAAATAATTATCATGACGTTTCGGCCACAACGCAAGCAGCCGTCCTCAGGTGGAGAACGTCGTGAGAATTATTTTATTATGTTTTATTTTTATTATTTTATTATTTACATTCTACGTGACTTTACCGAAAGAACCAAGAAGATGAATCCCTGCAGTCACGAAAGCTTTAAATCGAAACATCAGGTATTGTTGATGTTTGTTTATTACATTCTTACTAGTTCATAAAGCCCGTCTTTGCAAGGCAAAAGTTTTCAATAAATATAATAATTAACCTGTGATTTATTTTGTATCTACGATTAGACACTAACTACTCCCAAAATGTGTATTTTCCACTAAATAAATTGTTGACAGGTTGATTCAACTTTTAATACTTAAAGACGTACCCATCGGAGACAGCTCAATATAAATATTCCATTATTTTCGTATTAGAATGAACAAAAAAGTATAGATCTTAATTATCTGAGAAGAAGCTCTCATATCTTGTACCGTTTTAAAATTATTCAGATGTGAACATCATAAAATGCGGAATTTCCATTAAACCCGCTTGAATCTTAAAAATCTCAAGAACAATCAAATACAGAACTCCAATGGTTCTCGCTTTAATTGTATTTCTTTTTTTAACGATCTGCCAAAGAAAAAAATCCGCCATGTTATATTTTGAACGGTTTCTGAATGACACCACGCACACAAACATGTTCATGGGGCACTTAAAATCCAGAATTAGATGCCTTAAAATGACACAACTCAGATTTCCCCCGTTGTTTGTGTCATAAAAGCTACCCGTGCACAAAATTTCAGCTTTCTACCTTGTCAGGAAGTACGCTAGAGCTTGTTTTTATACGTCCACTGCTGGATGAATACCTCACTTCGCTAATCTTCTCCGCCAATCTTTATTTATATCGATTACCCTTATTTTACATGAATGAAGAGGAATGGATTCTGATGTCGGTTTTTTTTATCTTACCAATTGGCGGTAAGGGTTTATTTTTAACTCCTCAGCTCTCCAGAACCTATCAATTTAGTTCTGTATAGGCATCCACTGCTGGATGAATTCCTCAACTCCCCCAACCTCCCCCCTCTAAGACACCATCGGCATCGTCAGCCAGGGTCTCTCCACTGCTGGATAAATCCCTCACTCCACTAGCCTCCTCCACTATAATGCACCACCACCCAATCTCTCCACTGCTGGTTGAATCCCTCACTCGACTAGTCTTCTCCCCCACTTTAATGCACCATCAACGTGGCACTCGTCGATGAAGAGCAACGCTCCATGCCGCTCAGCCAGCGAGCCGAGTTCCACCATCGGGGTCGCCTCCCCATCCATGGAGACACACCTCTATACTTTCTCAAACAATTGAACCTCCCAAATTGTTTTATATTTTCCTCCAGCCTACAATATTCTGCAATGCCATGACATTGTTCGTTTGATATGATCTCCACCTGTCACCTGTAGCTTAAAATAACTCTTAGATATGCATCTAAGAGTTAGGGGCCGTCCATAAATGACGTCACGCACCTAGGGGTGGGGTCAGACATTTGTGACGATGTGTGACGAAGGGAAGGGTAGGTTTGAGAAATGTGACGTCACATCAAAATGCGCAACTTTAAATACATACTGTATAGACAACACGTTATACCTAATTAAATAGACGTTTTAATCAATGTTTTCTCCTACAACATCAGAGTGCAGTGGCAGATTAAATACGCACTACAATGACAATAGTTTAAAGCGATTTGAAGCATGTTTTATTTTGGGGGGGAGGGGGGGCAGAGCTTTGTGACGTCAAATTTGAGGGGGGGTCTGACGATGGGGCGAGGGGGGGTCAAAAATCGTCCAAATTCGCGTGACGTCATTTATGGACGGCCCCTTATTCGGTCGTGTGTTAAAACCAATCCTACTTCCATTACCGCCACATCTTCTCCATCACTCACCTTTGACTCGTTAGATAAAAAATTAACCCGTAAAAGCAAAGTTTTTCACTATAAATCCTTTATATGCGTGGCGGCTAGAGTCCTCTCGTCCTCTGGCTTGAGATGGCTGCCACCTATGGGTCAGATGATTGCCTACCACCATTAAGCAATTGGTAATTACATATAATTTTTTTTTCCTAAAAAGTGTAAAATTATTGAAAAAATTTTTCACGAAAATGTATTGTCACGCACAACGAGTCTGTGTGCAAAATGTCAGCTCGATTGAATCACGGGAAGTGGGTAAAAAAACGACCGAAAGATTTGCACGGTCGTAAGCGCGCAAGCAAGTGAACTTAATATAAAGGATTAAAAAAAAATCGCGACGAAGGTGGGATTTGAACCCACGCGTGCAGAGGACAATGGATTAGCAGTCCATCGCCTTAACCACTCGGCCACCTCGTCTCACGCACTCACACACGCAAGCACATACAACCAGAACCAGGATGAAGACTTGCACGCACATACATACAAACAGACCCCCTCCCCACACACACAGAGTCATACCATTATTTTTTCCTAAAAAGTGTAACATTTTGGAAAAACATTTTCACGAAAATAAATTGTCACGCACAACGAGTCTGTGTGGAAAATGTCAGCTCGATTGGATCACGGGAAGTGGGTTAAAAAACGACCGAAAGATTTGCACGGTCGTAAGCACGCAAGCAAGCAAGTGAACTTAATATAAAGGATTAAAAAAACAGACTGTGTAGCCACAGCAGCCACAGGCAATGGAGAGCGGCGTCTTGTGGGGACCAGGGGGAGCGGGCTGGACCGAGTATCCAGCCCAGGCCGCTCTACCCTCAGCAAACACTACCAAGCTGAGGCGTGTACACAATTAACATGGAGCAGTAGGCATTCGCGACCAATATTATCCACAATGAAGGGTTTTGCGTTAGATCGCATAAATATAAATGTCACCTTAAACCCGCCATTGTATGTTGATGAACTTTGAGCAGCCGATAATAGGTACTGCATATTATCTGCATGATCTTAGATTAATATAATGTACATACATTATGTATGTCGATTAACTGTGAATAACCCAAAACAATAATAGGTACAGTAAATTAACTGATTAACATGCTCTATTGTAACGTATGTAACTACTTTAACCCCTCTCTGGTCTTCGCACCTGCTAAGCCCACAGTGGTGACATCACCTTCACTGATATATTTAAGACAGGTGAAACGTAGTCCAGGTAGTCCTCTACTTACGATGGAGATGCGTTACGACGACCCCATCGTAAGTCAAAAATATCGTAAGTCGGACCATCGTAAATTGGGGAATCTCTGTACTTGAATTGTAAATGTCGGTTTACACTACAACAGACCGGTATTCTGAACTTGTAACTAATTGGCACGTTTTGTTGACGTGACAAACCTTACTAACTGGCGCTGTCAGGTAGTGGCGGGTTTAACGACACATTTATATTTATGCGATTTCACCCTAAAACATTTCTTAAGGTTGTACACAATTACTTGGCATGTGTCATGATGGGTATTGCAATATCCGATCATGTTCATGCAGTGTTTTCTGAGTTCTATTGTCTTACGGTTGCTGAAATAATATATTATAAAGTGACACTGCACACAAAGTGCTTGCCACAAATGAACCACAATACCTTGCTAATTTCAAGGATCATAAACCATCGCACGACCTCCGGTCATCTTCGTTGCGGCTATTGGCTAGCCATCGGACAAAGACGTTTACCGCATCACACGCGTTCAGATGCGCTTCTGAAGCCGTCTGGAACATTCTTCCTTACGATATTAGAAAGCCACTAGAACGATGCACTTTTGAATCTAGATTGAAAACGTATTTCTTTAGAACAGTTTTTTTTCTTTAATTTGTTGTCCTCTCGCACCTCCGATTAGCACGGTTGGCTATGTACGGTGTGAAAGAAGTTCATCATACATACAAGACTGCCAGCTGAAAATTGAGTGCTGGCCTCCCAGCTGAAGTTCATTGGA